GAAGAACGACCATCTTCAGGTGGTCATATCTATCTTTCAAATTACTCCACAGTATGACTGGATCTTTAACAGTAAGATATTTCATTTTCACGCCCTCATCAAGGTGATGGCGTGGGATCATCATTGCTTTGGCACGGTCTTGGTTTGATGCCTGATTTTTATCTTTGATGGTGTCTTCCAGACCCATCGTATCAAGATGAATTTCGGCATCAAGCACCCAAGACATGTAGCTTTTGCCCGATATATCCAGGGCTACAAACTCAAGTTTAGAAAGATTTGACATTATTTAGAAAAAGAAAGTTCGTACCTCTGATACTTTCAAAGTATTTTCTCGATATGGCAGAGTCTCGTGTTGATAACGTGTTATAAAATAAAGAATGTAAAGTAAAGACAAGTATAGAGAGAAACTGATATATTATTCAAACTTCAAACTTATGTACATAATGAACTGAATTCTCCTCTATTTATAGAAGAAAGGAAGTTGCTGTGTAAGCTGCTACTGCAAGCTGCTACTGCAAGCTGATGTGTAAGCTGCTGCTGCAAGCTGCTTGTAAGTTGCTGCTCTAAACTGTTGTGCCATATATAGATAATCTTCTATCATGGATAATATTTATCCATAACGGAGTACCGAAAGGATAAGCTTCTTCAGGAGACTTATTTCCAATAGAGTACTAAATAGATAAATATATTTATGGCGGAGTCTCATATGGATAAACTTCTTCAGGAAGCTTATTTACAACAGAGTATTAAATGAACATCCATAATATAATATATTCATAACAGAAAGTAGTTATTGAAAAATTATTATTTTCTTCAAGCCTACATATCACGAATTCTAATAAAAGTATTTATGATTGTATTTGGTTAGAATTTTATATTACATATATTAAATCATCTATTTTAGTTTTTTCGTTTTCGGTTTATTTTTTAATCTTTGTACATGAAATTCAAATTCAATCAATTTGTTTAATCCATTAAAGTTATGAATATAGTTTTCCAGTAGTCCATGTATACTTAGAAGGAATTGCAAAAATAAATAGACCTATGATCTATTAAATATTTCTATGTGAGAGTAGATAAATCATCCCCTTTCATTAATCGAACAACATGATCAAACCAATTTTAATTATTAAAGGTAAATAAATGACTTCTAAAGGTTTTCAACATATAATACTAAATTCAGTGTGAAACCTTTACGATGATATGCTTCGTTTTCTTTATAAATTATCAATAAGTTTATATCTGGGAAAAGGTATACAATCTTAACAAATTGGACTTTCTTGAATACTATAAACTTTTATGTAATATTGATATATTGTCTTATAAAAATATATGCTTTTGCAATTTTTTTAATTACTTGCACATCATCATATATTGAAAATATTAATAAATTTATAGAATTTTAGGTTTGAACTTATATTGAAAAATATTCTTTAAAAAAAAAAGTTAGAAAAATTGGAAGGCTAGGTTGGACCGGCTATTTTAAGGCCCTTTCATAAATGGGGCCGGACCAGCCCATCAAATTTTATGGCTTGTGAGGTTTAGGTTGAGCTGGGCTAGGCTAGCCTATTTTGACAGCTCTGGTTATGATTCGATTTTTCGTTTCGGTGAATTGGTATTCATTAAAGACCCTAATTATAATATCACAATTTATATAATAATAGAGAACACCAAACTGTGTCATAAAAGAATACAACAACAACGATCTAGTAAAATCCCACTAGTGGGTGTGGGGAGGGTAGTGTGTACGCATACCTTACCCCTATCCCGAGGAAGTAGAGATGTTGTTTCCTAAAGACTCTCGGCTCAAGAAGACGAAAAGAGACAATATCAGTATCACTAATAGAAACCATAGGAAAAATAACATCATGAAAATGAGAAAGTAGATGCAAAGCAAATGCGATAGACTGTACATAGACCCGACACTATAGTAAATAAAGATGTAGTAAGACACAACATTGCCACTAGCTGACATCGACAAAAACTCTACAAGACTAGCCTCACAAAGGTACGAAATAAGGAAGACTCAACTACCTCCTAACCTACAACCTTAATACTCGACCTCCACAACTTTCTATCAAGAGCCATGTCCTTGGAAATCTAAAGCTTTGTCATGTCCTGCCTGATCACCTCTTCCCAATACTTCTTAGGCCGTCCTCTACCTCTTCTTGTGCCCTCCAAAGCCAGCCACCGCTCACACCTCCTTACCGGAGCATCTGGGCTTCTCATTTGGACGTGTCCGAACCATCTAAGCCTCACTTCCCGCATCTTATCATCAATGGGAGCCACGCCCACCTTCTCCCGAATATCTTCATTCCTAATCTTATCCATCCTAGTGTGACCGCACATCCACCTCAATATCCTCATTTATGCTACTTTCATCTTCTGGATATGTGAGTTCTTAACAGGCTAACACTCAACCCCATATATCATGGCCGGTCTAACCATCGCTTTGTAAAACTTACCTTTGAATATCAGTGGCACTCTCTTATCGCACAAGACTCCA